CTGAAATCTGCAGGAAAGTGGCTCTCCAGGAACAGGGTTGGCCACCCCTGGACTAAACTAAATAAAACATGAGAAAATATTGACAATTTATACATGTTTTCATCAAACATAACGTGAAAAAAAACATGGAACATTGATATTGTGTCTGGTGATAATAATACATGTTTTCATCAAACATAACGTGAAAAAAAACATGTAACATCAATATTGTGTCTGGTAATAACAATGAGAAAGTAAAGACACTTTTAGCTAAATGAGCTTGTAATTTATTTAAAATAATAGTCATTTCTGAATTGTTAACTAAACTGCTATCGTTAACTAAACCATTCTACATTTGTTTACATGCGCAACTAGGCTTATAACCTAAATACAGATGTACCCAGTCTCAACTAATGCTTTTATCCATGTGTATATCAGCTGCCTGAGGGCACGTTTGAGCTCTTTACCCACAAATCTCCATTTTCTGTAGCTTGAATAAAACAGGTCCAGATGTTGCGCCTATTTCAGGTCCAAACGCCCCACAATCCCACTCGTTTCACCTCTCCTCTGCAGTCGAATGAAGGTTAATTAGTTGGCAACCTAAACGCAATCTCAACTTTTGTGTTTCTGCGAGCAGCGCAACAACACTGACTAATGTTCCTTACGTCTCTGTGACTAATAAAGTCCAACAAGAGACTGGACACCAGCCAGAGAACTGCAATTCCCAGAAGCCCTTGCTGACCTGTCTTTAATGGAGCAAAAGCAATTAGCTCAGGCTAAGTGATGCGGAGGTCCGGGCCGCTTGTGTTTCCACAGCTTGCAGAGCCCCTGGAGAAACACACTCTCATGTTTTTTTTTTATTAATTACACTTGATCTCAGCTACCTAAATCCAATTATACCTTCCTAAAGCTCCCAATCTCTCTCTCTCTCAGGAGAAAACCTAGCAAATCTGGTTCTTGCAGAGGAAAAATGAGATGTTGTTCAGACAAACGTGAAAACACAAATAGACATGGCTGTACTGTATTACAAAATGCTGCCACACAATTCCTTCATGTCGCTTTAATTTACCTAATTGTTTTTTACAATTTTAAGTGGGTTGAACATAGAACAATTTAGTTGTCCCCAAAAATAAATTAATTGAATTGTGTTGTTTCAACTCATTTTAAATATATAGTTTGAACAAGCAGCAAAGTAATTTTTGATTTGGAAAGAATGTAAAATCAAAATCAGAAAATCTTGCTATTTAGATTTCAGCTTTTTGTTTATTAAACGACTGACCCATAATACAGTACCTTGAATAGTTGTAAAGGTGCTGTATGTAAGTTTTTGACTCTTCTAAAGCATAGATACCATAATATGTTTGCAGATATTTAAGAAATATGCTAAATCAGTGGTTCTCAAACTGTGGTACGTGTACCACTAGTGGTACGCGGGCTTCCTTCTAGTGGTACACGGAGGAATGAAATATGTCATATACATGCTACATATAATTCAAAATTTATTAAAAATGATGTATATAATATGCTATATATTATATATAGGCTATATTTCTGAGGTAATCTGCCAGGTTTTTTAACTGTGCAGAGTTTTAGCTGCTTTACTGGTCCAACTACGCTACGGTATTTCAATGCTGCTCATTTTGGTGGTACTTGGAAAGACAATGTTTTTCTAAGGTGGTACTTGATAGAAAAAAGTTTGAGAACCACTGTGCTAAATGAACATTCTTAATCAGAAAAACAATGCTGAAGTCAGATATTCTACTTTGAAAATGTCTTCTACAGAAGAGTGTTTCTGCAGGTGGTTTGTCAAACCCACTCACCTGAGTGAGGCACACTCAGAAATGCACAATGTTTTTAGAGATATGGATAGATTGTAAGAAACTGGAAGAAAATGTGTGGTGCATATAGTGACGAAAGTGTTTTAGATGTGCATTTTTTCCTCTAATTTGTATAAAATTGCAGATTTAAACAAAACTGTTAAGTTCTTTTAACCATGGCTGCCAATATTATTTTGTATATTATGTTTTTATTAATATGATTAATACATTTATCCATTACAAGTCCATAAGAGAGAGAAAAATATGTAATTTCCCATGAAAAAAAAAACTGACTGTAACACTTTAGCTTAAGTAACAACTCAGACCATTTACTACTGTCTACGGTTAATATTCAGTCATCAACTGTTTATTAGCACTTAAAAAAAATTATCTTATTTTACATTCCTAATACTACCCAATACCTAAACCCAGTTACTACATTACTAACGATTAATAAGCAACTAATTAGTAGTTTACTGAGCTTAAACTATTAGTAAATGGTATGCTGATAATATGAATCGTAAACGTTAGCACCGATATAAGTTGTGCATATAAATATCTTCAAAAATAAAATCACAGAGTATTTTCACTTATAATCCAGCTGAATGAATGAGCTGATGACTCACTTGTGGCTCCGATGCCGAGTTGTAAAGTGCTGCGGTCTTTGGTCAGGCCGTTGGTTTTTGGACTGGCTGTAGGGGCGACTGTAGCCACTGCTCTAGGCGGTCTCTTCCCTGGCACCTTCACCGTCGTCCGCAGCAGATCGATCTCTTTACCATGAACATTCTGCATGTAGTCCTGAAAAGTGATATTTCGAAGCATTAGAGCCTGGGAAACCAGCAAAAACTAAACTCCGATTTGGCACGAAGTTGTTTCTTGTTCTTTGTTTGAGGGGAAAAAAAGTTTGAAAAGGCTGAGTGGCTTTGTTTCTTCTGAATCTATTCTGTATACCAGGGGTGGCCAACCCTGTTCCTGGAGAGCCACCGTCCTGCATGTAGAGGACACAAATGAGGCAAATTCTGCACACATGCGGCAAAAACACATTGCGCATTCCATGTCAATCATACCGCAGGACGGTACTTAAAGACGCCTTAAAGTAATAGATAAAGACGCCTCTCATATGGAGAATGAAGTCACATGCATTGCTTAGGTGTGAGTTTTTCACAAACCTCAACAGACTGTAAAAATCCTTATGGTTCTGTCAGTCTCGTTTATCAAATCTGATCTTTACTTTGTATTTTCTATTGGATTCATGTCAGGTGATTGGCTAGGCCATTCTACAGCTTGATTTTCTTTCTCTGAAAGCATTTGAGAGGTCCATGGCAGTGTTTTGGATCATTGTCTTGCTAAACTGTCCACTGTCTAGGCTTTCACTGCCTTTCTTCTTGTGTTCAACACTTTTTTTTCCCAGCGCCATTTCATTTTATTACACGTAACTACATTTGTAAACTAATTAGATTAGTTTTCTTTGCATATATGGATTTCTTTGGTTGTCCAGGAGAAAATGAATAAGTATGAAATAGAAATATGTTTTCTGAGAAAAATTGTAACATGTTCAATACTTATTTCTTTCAATATATATATATTTTCCCCTGATTTCTGTTTAACGGAGAGAAGATTTTTTAAATACATTTCCAAACATAATAGTTTTAATAACTCATCTCTAATAACTGATTTATTTTATCTTTGCCATGACGACAGTAAATAATAGTTGACTAGATATTTTTCAAGACACTTCTATACAGCTTAAAGTGACATTTAAAGGCTTAACTAGTTTAATTAGGGTAACTAGGCAGGTTAGGGTAATTAGGCAAGTTATTGTATATTAATGGTTTGTTCTGTAGACTATCGAAAAAAATATAGCTTAAAGGGGCTAATAATTTTGTTCTTAAAATGGTTTTAAAAAATTAAAAACTGCTTTTATTCTAGCTGAAATAAAACAAAAAAGACTTTCTCCAGGAGACAAAATATTATAAGACATTACTGTGAAAATTTCCTTGCTCTGTTAAACATCATTTGAGAAATATTTAAAAAATGAAAAAAAAAAATCAAAAGAGGGCTGATAATTCTGACTTCAACTGTATATATTTATTATTTAGTTTATCAAATAGATATTTTATCCCAAATTTATTTAAAAAAATAAATAAATTATCCCAAATTTAACTATACTTTTTAATTTTATGTGCGATACTGTGAGGATGAGTCAGGCCCTAAAAACAACATGACACACTGATCGGTTTGTCCTTCAATAATTCAGATATAAAAACAGTTGATCTGATCTGACTAAACTTGACTTATCAAATATTCTCACATTTAAATATATTAAAAAAGATCCCAAATTGCAGAATTCTTCAATAATTCATATATGTATGAGTTCAAACTAAACCTGATCTGACTGAAGTGAATAAACAACACAAGCAGCGCTTTCATAACTAAACCAAGAAACCTATTAGTCCTTCAAAAACAAGCAGCACTGAAATATATATTTACTATTTCATTTATCAAATATTCTCACATTTAAATATATTTAAAAAGATCCCAAATTGCAGAATTCTTTAGTAATTCATATACAGATGAGTTCAAACTAAACCTGATCTGACTGAAGTGAATAAACAACACAAGCAGCGCTTTCATAACTAAACCAAGAAACCTATTAGTCCTTCAAAAACAAGCAGCACTGAAATATATATTTATTATTTCATTTATTAAATATTTTCTCATTCATATAGATTAAAAATGATCCCAAATTGCTGAATTTTTCAATTCATATATAAAACAGTTCAAACTAAACCCAGTCTGACTGAAATAAATAAAAAACACAAGCAGCACTTCCATAACTAATTCAAGAAACCTTATTATTTCATTTATCATATATTCCCACATTAAAATATAATAAAAATGATCCCGAATTGTTTAATAACTCATAAATAAGAGTTCAAACTAAACCTGGCCTGACTGAAGTAAATAAACAACACAAGCAGCGCTTCCATAACTAAACCAAGAAACCTATTACACAAATAGCACTGAAATATATATCATTTCATTTCTCAAAGATTCTCACATTTAGATATTAAACATGATTCCAAATGTAAAATTCTTCAATAATTCATATATAAAACAGTTCAAACTAAACCTGATCTGACTGAAGTTAATATTAAACACAAGCAGCGCTTCCATAACTAAACCAAGAAACCTATAACACAAATAGCACTAAAATATATATCATTTCATTTCTCAAAGATTCTCACATTTAGATATTAAACATGATTCCAAATGTAAAATTCTTCAATAATTCATATATAAAACAGTTCAAACTAAACCTGATCAGACTGAAGTTAATATTAAACACGAGCAGCGCTTTCATAACTAAACCAAGAAACCTATTAGTGCTTCAAAAACAAGCACCGCTGAAATATATATTTATTATTTCATTTATTAAATATTTTCACATTTATATAGATTAAAAATGATCCCAAATAGCCAAATTCTTCAATTCATTTATAAAACAGTTCAAACTAAACCCAGTCTGACTGAAATAAATAAAAAACACAAGCAGCGCTTCCATAACTAAACCAAGAAACCTATTAGTCCTTCGAAAACAAACAGCACTGAAAAAACCTCAGCTCTGGACAATGAAACCCACGCAATCCATTCACCTGTTTCCACAGCGCCGCAGATTAGCAAAATTAGCATTAACGACTGCTCGCAGACTCATTCCCATTTCAACTGGGCCTTTTCCATTTTCCACCGAAGTTTGCAGAGAACGCAAATGGGTTAAGCTGAGGTGCAAATCACCCTGCTCAGCACAAAAAAAAAAAAGGCGAGCAGAGATTTCGGCCTCCAAAGTCCCCCGCCAACTCCTCTTCACTTTTATTGCGCCCCATAAAGCACTAATTTCTTGAAAAGCCTCAGTACTAATTACCCAGTGAGCGCTCTCATTCCATTTTATTGCTGGAATTAACAGCCAGTTTGAGGCGCAGAAAGCTATTAAGATGTGTGATTAAGCCATATTCAATTAGTTTCTACAAACAATTTAATTGATGTAGCAGACAGAATTAACAGAAGGGGATTGTGGGACGGCTCGGCTGGCTGCGGCGCGGAATTAAACCGTCTCTTTTCTCTCTCTCGTTGAGCTAAACGAGTGGTCCACAGGTGTCCAAACTCAAGCATTATGGCATCGTGTGCCTATTACACACATGGCTGGCACGAGATGCGCATTGTGTCGCTAATAAACGCGCGGGTTGATGGGCGAGACGCGAGTTTGGCCAAGATATTAATTTCGGTTGTATAGTCTGAGGAGACTCGTGTAACGTGTCTTGGGTGGTCAAGGAACGCCGGTTCTCTGGTGGATGTTAATTAGCAGGGCTTTATTAATTAGTAACCTGTGTTAAACGTGTGACGGGAAATGTGCGGTGCACACGAAGAGAGCGGAGGGAAAAGTGAGATTTCAGGAGAGCACACGCAGGGGTTCTGACAGAGATGAATGTCCTGTATGGAGACGTCTGTGCTCATCCTGAGGCGAATACTGAAAGAAACGCAAGCAGAGAGCAGATGACCTGTCCAGCTTCTGTGTGTATTTATTACTTTCCCGAATGCTGTTTAATGGAGAGATTTTTGAACACATTTTTAAACACAGTAGTTTTAATAACTCATGTTTTTGTCTTGCCATGGTGACTGCATAATATTTTTCCACTTATTTTGCAAGATACTAGCTAAAAGCGCAAATTAAAGACTTAACTAAAGGGATGCATGGGAGCTAATAAACTGAAATAAAATAAAATACAATACTGTGATGGGAATATTGACTCACCCATAAGAACTCATTAAAACTTAACAAATAAATAAATAAATAAATAAATAAATAAAATATTGTAATAGGAATATTGACTGAACCATTGGTAATAATGAAATAAAATTAAAATTCACTCTCCCCATATGAAATAATAAATAAATAAATAAATAAATAAAATGTGATTACAATATTAATTGACCAATTAGTAATAATGAAATTATTAATTTAAATCAAATAAAAAATATATTACTGTGATGGGAATATTGACTCACCCATTTGAACTAATAAATAAATAAATAAATAAAATGTTGTAATAGGAATATTAACTAACCCATTAGTAATCATGAAATTAAATTAAATTAAATTAAACTAAAAAAATAAATTATTTAAAAATATTATTGTGATAGGAATATTAACTCTCCTTTTCAAACTAATAATAAATAAATAAATAAATAAATAAATAAATAAATAAATAAATAAATCAAATATTGTGATAAGAATATTCACTGACCCATTAGTAATAACAAAATAAAATTAAATTGATTTTTGTGACTGCAATATTGACTCACCTATTCGAATAAATAAATAAATAAAATATTGTGATAAGACTGACCCTTTAGTAATAATAAATAAAATTGAATTAAAGTAAATTAACTTAAATTGAATTGAATCAAATTAAAATTGATTATTGTGACCGGAATATGGACTTACCCATAAGGACTAATTCAACAAAAAAATAAAATAAAATAAAACATAAAATAAAATATTATTGTGAGGGGGATATTGACTAACCCATAAGAACTAAATAGAACTAAACTCATAAAAACTAATAAAATAAAACAAAACAAAACAAAATGAAACAAAATTTAATTAAAAATAATATAAAATACTGTGATTGGAATTTTAAGTAAATATTATATTTAATAAATAAAATGTATTATTGTGATGGGAATATTGAATCACAGATGAAAACTTTAATAAATATTTGCCATATTATAAAAAAAATATATGAAAAAATATTTTCAAAATGCTGTTTAACAGAGATTTTTTTCAACACATTTGTGAACACAATAGTTTCAATAATTCATGTTTTTGTCGTTGCCATGGTGACAGTATAATATTTTTCTACTTATTTTGAAAATACTAGCTAAAATTGCAATTTAAGGAATTAACTAAGGGGATTATGTTAACTATGCTAGTTAAGGTAACCAGGCGATAACTGGATATCAGAGGTTTGGTTTGCTCATAGACCCTATATATATATATATATATATATATATATATATATATATAGGTCAAGTCCACAAAGTAGTCAGCTTTACTTTTTCCAATTATTATAGATGTTTAAGGCTGTAAAACCCCTCACTACACTATTTTCTCAGATTAATATTTTTACACTCGTGTAACTGCTACCTTCCTTTAGCATGTCTGCGAAATCTGCAAAACTGCAAGACCACAAAAGATGAACTGCGTTATAGCGAGGGACCACTGTATATGAAATGTTCTAACGAGGGGTAATAATATTGACCTCAAAATAGTTAACAATTTTTAACTGTTTTTATTTCAGCTAAATTAAAAGAAATAAGACTTTCCCCGGAAGAAAAATATTATATAAAATACTGCATTAAATATCGCTTGAGAAATATTTGAGAAAGAAAGAAACAATCAGAGGAAGACTGTTGTTCCAGAGCAGAATTAAATGGTCAGATTTTGATTAAAGATTATTAAACTGTTTTAAAAAGTGAATTAAGGGATTTTATGGTTCACATTAAGACTAAAAAAGTGCGCTACCAAAAAACACTTTAAAATGGGATTTCATTCAGACTTAAGGATCACAACGCAGACATGAAACACTAATTATTCACCAATACAATACAATTACAAATCAGTGAATCACAGAAGCAGTTCACTGAGCCAAATCATCCAAATGAATCGATTCAGCAAAAATGAATCAGATTTGTGAACTCAGTAGCCATAGATAAAGATACTCACGTGTAAACTGGGGTGGTACGTGAGCAGACCGTTGTCACACAAAGTCACATATTTCTTCTTCCACTCCTTATTGAGAGACTTCCCGCTTCTTTTTAACAAAATCCCCTGTTTAAGACAGAAGCAATCAGTAAAGAGGAGATTTCAGATCAGGATGCATTCACAATTACAAGCAGGACAGGGGTTTTAATAATTGAGCTTTAAGTATAGAACTATCAGCTGATGATCACAACGTAAAGCTAAAGTTTCCCCATCACTCAACACACACTCATTCACAGCCCATTTACACACTGAGTGGATTTTCACAGTCAATTTTCACATTGTTAAGATGAAGCACTAAGCTTTTTCTCTCTCTCTTTACTTTCACCACTGATTTTCTTCAGTGATTTGTAAGTTCGTCGTGTTGTTCTTGGACCGATCAGAGCTTCATATTTTCACAACTTTATTAAACAACAAAGTAAACTCACTCGCAATTCTTTTAATTAACGGATAGTTCAGCCACGATGAAAATTTACTCTAATTTAATCAAGATTCTTTCTTCTGTTAAAAACAAAAGAAGATTCTTTGAAGAAAGCTGAAAACCTGTAACCATCGACCTAGTATGAAAAACAAATAATATGGAGGTTGATGGTTACAGGTTTCCAGCTTACTTTAAAACATTTTATTTTGTATTGAACAGAAGAAAGGAAGTCAAACATGTTTGGAACAAGTGAAAGCTGAGTAAGTGATGGCAATTTTCAGTTTTGGGTGAATGATCCCTTTAACACTATAATAATTTATCCCCCTTCTTCAGAAACTCAAAGTCTGCCACAGGTTTCCTGAAGTAGGGCCATATTAGAAGTGGTTTTTACTGTATAAAATACATTACGCATATGGAGAGTCCCTGTAACTGACTGTATATACAGTTGAAGTCAGAATTATTAGCCCCCTTTTGATTTTTATTTTCTTTTTTAAATATTCCCACATGATGTTTAACAGATCAATGAAATTCTCACAGTATGTCTGATAATATTTTTTCTTCTGGAGAAAGTCTTATTTGTTTTATTTCGGCTAGAATAAAAGCAGTTATTAATTTTTTTAAAAACATTTTTGGGACAAAATTATTATCCCCTTATTAAAAATATTATTTACTGTCATCATGGCAAAGATAAAATAAATCAGTTATTAGAAATAAGTTTTTTAAACTATTATGCTCAGAAATGTGCTGAAACAATCTTCCCAGAACAGAAATTGGGGAAAAAAATAAACAGGGGCGCTAACAATTCAGGGGGGCTAATAATTCTGACTTCAACTGTATGTGTCTGTGCATTTGTGGTATACACTGTATTTATTTTGTAACTTTAAACTTGTACAAGAAATTGCTAAATTGTGTGAGTTTACAAGAATGGTGTACATTTCATAAGTGTTCAGTCAGTTTAACATTTGAGCCAATTTCTGCCAAAGGTAGATGGCTGCCCTTGGATGAAGAGTCTTTGCATCCAGAACCAACAACATCTGACAGATTTCTGCAAAGACACCCCTGTCTATCCTTTGCGTTCACTGCCTAGGCACACTACAAAGAAGAGAAATGTAGCAAAACGCACCAGCCATAACATAGTTACTTATTAGCATGTGGGATTGAAGCTTGAGTGCCATAGTATAAAACCTTAGTATATCCTCCTCAGACCCCGCCCATTGACTTGTATCCTCTGTAGTGGACATTGCGTTTTCATGAATTTTCTTTTAATTTTATGAGCTACTCTGAACAGTACAACAGGATTTGACAAGAGGACATTCTGAGCTTTCTAGTGATATGTCATTTGATTGGCTGGCATGCTAGGAACCACTTCTTACACTGCATCCAAAATGGTTGACATACAAAAAGGCACATTTTATGTGAAGGAGAGAGGCATGTAAAATTCAGTTTTTTTAAATGTTTTTTTACTATTATTATTACATTTATATTTGTTTATTAAAGTGTCAGGAACAATACATTTAGTTTTCAAAGCTGTTAACTTGTTTGTGTTTCAAAATATCATCCTTTTTAAATAGATATAGATATTTTTAAACAGATATAGATCTGTTAACAAGGAAGTAGTACATCCCAAAGCTTACACAAGCTGCGTCCCAAATCGCATACTTATGCAGTACTCTACGCCATTTTGTAGTATAACGAGTGTAAGGAGTGTGTTCACACTGAAAACTCTAAAAATAATAAGTGCACTTTAATTACCCGGATGATGCACTCATTCAGCTGTTAAAATGAAGTGTGTAATGAAGGACACTTCACGCACTTAACAGCCGCAGGTTTGCTCACGTAGCGGAAGGGGCGGAGCTGCCAGGCGCATATGTTGGAAAACGTTATGGCTGTGTCCGAAACTGCATGCTTCCACACTGTATAGTATGCTAAAATCAGTATGCGAGCTAAGTAGTATGTCCGAATTCATAGAATTCGAAAATCAGTATGCGAGAAGTACCCGGATGACTTACTACTTCCGGTGAGATTCTGGAGTGCGCATCCCATGCATGCTGCACTATCCCATGATGCCCCGCGAAATAATTCATGAATGGGAGTGAATCGACGCAACTGACGCAGGTTGGTCACGTGACCATGACAAAATGACGGATGTAGTACGTCCGAATTCCATTCATACTTTTCACACTTATACTGTATAGAGCGTACTTTTCTAACGCCCGAGTAGTATGTTTAAATTCAAATGCAGTACCTACTGAGTAGAAGGCGGTTTCGGACGCAGCCTATTTAATTTGGATGGTGAAAGCAAAATTCTTCTATGAGAGTGATTATAGCGCCTCCCGATGGTGAATGCGGTTATACTCATGGCAGGGATTACTGTGCGTTCACACCGAAAGCGGCGGGAGCCTCCAAGGTCGCTCTGGCGACAACCCTGTCTGCCTTAAGCTCCAGCGGTGAGAGCGTCAAAATTCGCCACATTGATCTCATATTTAAGGGGGCCGTTGCAGCATATCAGTTACATTCCTGCATAAAACATGCTTTCTAGTAGGGCTGGGCGATTTTTCCGATTTGTTCGATTAATTCGAATTTACATTTTAAGACGATTTAATTTTGAATGAAATCGAGAAATCGCGATTTTTAAAAATATATATATTTAATACATTATAATGGCACCAATGCGCTTGGGTTCACTCTCTGTATGAAGCAGGAAGCACACCAGAAGCACCTCTCTGCGACGCGCCGCACAGCACCACGCAGCGCCATGGATTTTAGAATTCTAAACAGGTTTCTATACACACACCGGCGCCGCCCAGCCACGATTCACGAAGCAGTTCATATTTCAGCCGGCCAACTGAGCGAACTGATCTTGCCTAAGCTCAGCAAAACTTGCAAAAAATACCTCTGTATTCCTGCAAGTGCAATATTTACACAAATATTTCTTATTCAAATCTTCAGCAACGCCATTTAACTCGTGAATTTGTTTTACATTTATTTACACCTTGACCGATTTTTGTATGACATGGCCATTAAAAATACAATGTTCCTTAACTAGATGGGTTTTCAAGTTACTTATAAAGAGAATGTTACTTCAGTCATGTTGTTGTAATGTTTTGAGAAGACTAGTGACACAATAAAAAAAAATAAAAAATAATCGAAATCGTGAATCGGACAAACTTTATAAAAAACCTAGATTTTTTTTTTTTTTTTTTTGCTAAATCGCCCAGCCCTACTTTCTAGCGTGAAAATGTTGCGCACTTTTTGTTAAAGTAATTTAACAATGGAAGATCAAGTTGCATGTGGTGTGGCTTTGCTCCACTTAATTATCCAATGTGTCCATATGTCTGAAATATCCTGAAGCAGCAATACTGTTTTGTACTGTCGCATGAGATTCCCGCTTTTTTAAAGATAAATATCTATAACATTTATGCACATCAGTAACTCGCCAGTAACTTTTTTAATGCATTTTCCTGTGAGAAAATATTTTAAATAATTGAAAATCCGGCAACTGCAATAATCAAACCCTCGGGAAGAACTGTGGTCGGAACCAAAGTTCACAGGTCTGTGTTCTCTGAACACCTCTAAAGCGGTGGACTTCTTCATTCTGATTGGTTGCCGCCAAACCGCGTCATAGCTCATTACCATAAAGTTGACTTGATTTCAACTCTCCTCGACGCCCACACCGGCGAAGACGCGCCGCGCTGCTCCTCGCCGCTTATCACCGCCGGCTGTCATTGATAATGAATGACTTCCGGCTACTCTCGCCGCTTTAGGTGTGAACGTACGGTTGTTTGATAGTTTGGTCATTTATTTCACCAATTTGGCAACCGTCAAACGTCATCTGAGAAAAGGGTTAAATTTCCGCTTAGTAAAAAAAACATTAGTGCTCCATTTGGGACGACACTACATACATATACTATGCTGTTAAGTGTGTAAGTGCATAAGTACATTGTGATTAAGTGCGTAGTGTATAGTGTGCCATTTGAGACGCAGCTACACTCTTCTGTTACACACTTAAAAGTACATACTTCTCCTTTAAGTGCATCCGTTTAGGGCGTAGTACAAGTATGTGAATTGGGATGCAGCACAAATTTTAACTATCCTTGACGCCCACACTGGCGAAGACGAGCTGCGCCCCTCCTCGCCGCTGGCTCCCATTGAAAATGAAAGACTTCCGGCTACTTTAACACTCTTGCTGCCTTCGGTTTGAAGACACAGTAAGGGGGTTGATAATACTGACCTTAAAATGATTTTAAAAACAATTAAAACAGCGTTTATTCTACTCAAAATAAAACAATTAAGGCTTTCTCTAGAAGAAATAATATTTATAGGAAATACTGTGAAAAATTCCCTGCTCTGTTAAACATCATTTGGGAAATATATATATATATATATATAAAAAAGGATAATAATAGGGACTTCAACTGTAAATCTCAGTGTGTGCACATCAAAGTGTGTGTGTGTGTGTGTGCTGAGGAGGAAGAGCAGAGGTTAAATCCAATTTGTGCAGATCCTCTGTGTGTTGTTTGGCCTGAACTGAACTCTCCTAGACCTCTGTGATCCACAGCTCTTCAAAAGACACCAGTCTCCTGCTGCTCTTTTAACAAAAACACTCTTCCCCTTCAGTCGGGCCAGGACAAACAGCGGCGGGGTGTTC